CCACAGACAATGAGTACTCGGAGATCAAGATCCACAAGTGAGAAACCGTGGAGACTGGGCCTTGGTTGAGGGATCCTGTTCCCTCCTGGTAAAGGAGATTTCAGAGGCTGCTTCCTGCAGAATCAGAGCCCTCTACAGCCCCATGCTGTGCAGTGGAGCCCCAGAGCTTATTCCTCCTGTGAAACTGAAACCTTGTACCCACTGATCACTGTCTTCCCTTTCTCCACCACCTCATCCCCGCCTCCCAGCTTCTGACACCCACTATTCTACTTTCTACTTCTATGAGTTAGGCTGTTACAGATTCCACATGTAAGTGTGATCATAAGGTATTTGTCTCTGTGTGCTTGGCTTATTTCACTTAACATAATGTCCTCTAGTTTCATCCATGTTGTCTCAAATGAGAGAATGATGTATATTTCAAAACAGCAAAAATAGAGAATTATAAATGTTCTTACCAAAAAGAAATGATAATAGTTGAGTTGATGTTAAGAAACGGAACTGAGTCCTTTTCCTGGTGCACAATGTGAAATACCAGGTTTTTGTAGCAAGAAAGGTTTATATCCAGCCAGTTGAGCAAGGAGCCAGAGTCAGACTCACATCTGTATCCCTGAGCGGGGGTTAGGACAGGTTTTATAGTCATAGGGTAATGAGATGTGATAGGATCCTGCCATGGGTGTGACGCCAGGGCACAATCTGATTGGAACCTGGATCCTTCCCTGTGTTGTGCGCTTCTGAATTCAGTCCCCACTCCTGGGTCCAAGCACTTAGGTTCCACCTGTGGTTGCATGCTCAGGGCATACTCAGGTTACGTGACCTTCAAACTGGGGGTCCGTGGCAACTGCAAAACAAATCACAACTTTGTTACATAAAATCTGAACCAGATTGATCTGATGCAGTTTCAGTGACGGATATACTCACTCTCCTGACCTGATCATTCCACAAGGTCTCCATGTATGGAAACTTCACTGGGGCTGTCTCAAGGCCACTGGGCTACTCAGGGCAGGGCTGGAGTTTAAACCTGCCTGATTCTGAGGTCTCTGCTCTCATCTAACATTGAGTCAAGCAGCCAGCAGTCCAGGCCCCCTTTGGCCATAAATTAGCAGGAAATAATATTTCTGAATGGTCTTGAAATTTGCTAAAGAGGGGGTAGTAAATGGCCCAGAGTCTCAGGGACAGCAAAGGTGCAGTTGAGGAGATGAAGGCTGGGGACCTCTGCTCAAACTTTTTGGCAGGTCTTCATTTATTTATTTGTTATCTCCCAATTATTGACTCCTTTAATTGAAAGTTGTTTATTTGTTTATTTTTTCTTGAAAATTAAAAATATCACTTGTATTTTTAATTATGGCAAAATTCACCTACCATAAATACACAAATCCCAGGTGTGTGACTCCATGAGTTTTGTCAACTTGTACACCTGTGTACCCCAATCAGGAGCCCAGTCAAGGATATGGAAATTTCCCACCACAGCAGAAAGATCCGGGCTCCCACGCCCAGTCAATCCCCAACCCTGAGAGCCGACGCTTTCTGATTCCTATCACTAGACGTTACTTTTCCATGTCAGTAAACATTATGTAATTGGCATTACACAGTATGTATCCTTGTGTCTGGTTTTATTTTCACTCTGCATTGCATTTTTTGAGATTCATCTCTGTTATTTTATGTGTCAGCATTCTAGTCCTTGTTATTGCTGAATAGGATTCCACTGTATGAGTATTTCATGGTTCCTTTCCCTACGTTTTTTTGTTCATAAATATTTGCTTTTATTTGTGGCAATTATGAATACAGCTGCTGTGAACAT